CGAAACTAACGAACTATTTGCATGTTAAACTAATTAACTACTTAACTAATTAACTAACTAATTATCTAATTAATTAATTAACTAATTAACTACTTAACTAATTTCTGTTTATCTAATTAACTAATTAACTAATTAACTAAAGCTATTGTCTATTCGAAAATAACAAACTATTTGCATGTTAAACTAATTAACTACTTAACTAATTAACTAACTAATTATCTAATTAATTAATTAACTAATTAACTAATTTCTATTTATCTAATTAACTAATTAACTAAAGCTATTGTCTGTCCGAAACTAACAAACTATTTGCATGTTAAACTAATTAACTAATTAACTGCTTGACTAATTAACTAATTAATTAGCTAACTAATTAACAAACTATTTGCATGTTAAACTATATGCAGTACGCATTACCTATTTAAAGTATCGGCTCTTTATAGGTATTTTACTTTCAAATATTTAATTTATGATAAAAATATCAATGTTTGTAAGTAAAATTCAAAAAGTGTTACAAAAAATATCAATATTCTTACTTTCAAACATTTAATTTATGGCCCTATGCCCCTCCCTTTTTGTAAGAATATTACTGTAACACTTTTTAAATTTTACTTACAAACATTGATGTTTTTATCATAAATTAAATGTTTGAAAGTAAAATACCCATAAAGAGCCGATACTTTAAATAGGTAATGCATACTGTATATAGTTTAACATGCAAATAGTCTGTTAATTAGTTAGTTAGTTAATTAGTTGATTAGTTAAGCAGTTAATTAGTTAATTAGTTTAACATGCAAATAGTTTGTTAGTTTCGGACAGACAACAGTTTTAGTTAATTAGTTAAGCAGTAAATTAGATAAATAGAAATTAGTTAATTAATTAATTAGATAATTAGTTAATTAGTTAATAATTAATCAGATAATTAGTTAATAATTAATTAGTTTAACTATTAACTAATTAGATAATTAGTTAAGCAATTGTCAAGCAAATAATAATTGTCAAGCAAGAAGAGGGCAAAATTGGAAGAAATTTCTTATCTCATTTCTACAAAAGCTGTTAGGGAGGTTTCTGCAACGAATTGTTACTGTTTAGGGGAGGTGAATGCAATTTCAAAACCTAGAGGGGAGGTCAGTGCAAATATTAGAAATCTTAGGGGAGGTTTCTGCAAGTATCCTTAAAGAAAAATAATCACCGGTCTATTTTTTTTTTTTTTTTTTTGTATGCAATGGAAGATCTGTTCACTCGTGTCGGTTGGATACCCATTCTGGTCCTAAACAGCCTACTAATAAGAAGAGATGCGACTCATACTGTCATGCCCCAGAAAGCGACGCGGTCACATCCTGGTCTGTCGGCCCATCTTCAATGGCTTTGGAGAATTCTTATCATATGGACTCAATGATGGAAACCAACTATTCCGGTAGCTGGCTGTTTTAAAACCTAATGTTCGGTGGAAAGTTCGCTTTTCTGCCCACATTAGGCAGGAAGCAATGCAATGAGGCCAACTGTGGTCTGTGGGTACGCACAAAGACGGACAGAGGGCACCGGAGAAAGTCGGTTGTGCTTGGATGAAATAATGCCATACATTTTAAAATTACAATAATAAAAGTTCTCTTAAAAATTTGTCCATCATCTAATGCTCATTACTTAGAAAATATTTTGTGAGCACTCCAACCGAGATGCGAGTCCCAATGAAAAGTGAAGAGTGAAAAAGTGAAAACGTGGAAAACAAAGGTACCGAAAGGTAGATGAGATTGTTGTAATGGAAAATGGGTGAAATTTTCAACATTATTTTGTGAATTTTATACATGTCAAAACAAATATTGTGGTAGTTTTTTTTTTTTTTGATTGAGTTTGATATTTGAAATAATTGAAGCATAAATATAAAACGAGAGTTGGGATATCAAACACGATTAAAATAAAGGAAGATGTGCAATTTTGTTCCCCAACGTTTGGCCTATGAGTTAAACTAGTCCCTGATATTTTGACCAAAATAAATATGGTCCCAAATTATTTATTTTAGGCAAATTTAGGACAACTAATAGAAAACTACAATATCCAACGAGCAAAATCAAGTTAGAATGAGTCAGAAGTTTGACTTTATATTTTTTGATCCCTAATATTTGAAAATTTGATCAATACGGTCCCTTATATTTTTAATAATTTTATTTCAAATGAAATAAAATGTGAATTAGATCAAATGCATAAAAAATGTGTTCTAAATCTCATTAAAATCCTTAAAAGTAATCTTCATTGTCAAAACATATCATTTAGCCGAAAGAGCATCTTTTCGTTAATTTAAGGGTAAAAAATAAAAAAACCCCCTGTGGTAAATCTAATACACAGAAAAGCCCCTCATAGTTTTAAAATATACAACACGACCCCTCATGCTTTGAATTAAATTGTAAAGGTGATGGAATCCGTTTAACTTAACGGAAATGGGCGAAAGAGTATCTTTTCGTTAAATTAATTACAAACAAATGATAACACATAAATCATATATAAATGAAAATTTAGTGGAAAAAAGAGAATTTTAATTTGGGTGTATAGTAACTTTAATTGTAAACAGTATAACACAAATCGTTGTATGACTCGTGGATATGAGTTTCAATTAGTTATAGTTAGGCATTGTGATTATAATAATAAGTAAAGGTGATTACCAATATAAAGGACTCATATGAATTTTCAAAAAATTTCTTGCTATTTCATCTTGTCTTTCCTTCATATTAAATCAAATATTTCAATGATACAATTTAATGTATTTATATTTATGTTGATTTAAATTGAAAATTTTATTGAATAATTTAAATAATTATAAAATCTTTATTTCAATTGAAACTTAATTGACAACTAGTTGAAATGTCAAAAAAAGAAAAAGAAAATATTATTCAATCAACTCAATGACATATAGTTGTTTATATTATAATAGAATATTTAATTAACTATCTTAATTTATCAAATATAAGTATCGGCCATTAGAAGATGAAGAAATTTTTAAGAGGACTTTTATTGTGATTTTAAGAGGCCAACCGGCTTTCTCCAATGGTGCCCGGATATCCTTCTTTGCGCGTCCCCACAGAGAGCACAGTTGGCCCCCTTGCATTGTTTCTGCCTACCATGGGCAGAAAAGTGAACCTTCCACCGTAGACGTTACCTAAGTAGGTCAAGAAATTCTTTACTTCTTGATTCAATGGACCACTTAGAATACGTTGAGCCTTGCAAGAGAGTTTTAAAACCTAAGTAGGTCAAGGAATTAAATCCATTTGTCTACATTTTAAAAATTTCAGGCTTTCTCGAAATATCGTCAGCGGTGCGCAGACATCCATATGAATAGATGATGATTCAGTTTCTTTCGAGTTCTCCTTGGACTTCTTCACATCCCTCTTCCCTTAGTACGGGGTAAGTGTAGGTTCGTCGTATTCGAAAAAAAAAAAAGAAGAAGACTTATGGAAAGTTGACTTGTACCTTATAAAACTCTACAAGCACATAGCTGTGCTCCTCTGTAGCACCCTTCAGTCCTCTATTCATGCACTTGCGCGTTCGGGAGGTCTTTCCATTCCTGTAATTGTTTACACAATTTGGGAAACGTCATTGATGAGGGAGAGACAACCAGCTAGTTAATTTCCATAAAAGAAAATAGAAATTTTTCCATGCGTGATTTCATTTCTTAACCTTTCAAATGTGTAGGGTATACACACACATATATATATATATATATGTGTGCGTGTGTGTGTTTATTTATTTATATTAATGATAATCTAGAAGCCTTTTTATTTTTCTTTGTTGTTTGGATAGTGAAGCACGAGAGAATATTTCTGGAATCGCATACTTATTAATTCATGCACTTTTGCACACATGTTATGTACAACATTGAAAGTCTTATTATTTTCTTTTCAGTTTATGGGCTATTTAGGATTTTAGCTTTTCTCCAAGACAACCATTTTGCATATGTTAATTAGTTTATATCTTGAATTTTTTCAAGCACATCTTTTGCTAATTAAACATATCAGTTGTAAGTCTGAGTTTTTCCCCTTCTTCTTTGTATTCCACGTTCACATGATTGAGTATTTCTAAGGCTCTTAAACTTGATTTTGTTAAGTCTACATTTTATAGTTTTCTCTTATATTGTCAACCGTCACAAGTGTTGGTGCGAGCAAATCATAAGGTCATGGTTTTGCATGGTAAACAGCTTTGTTAAAATAGTTTTGAACCTTAATCATACCAAAAAAAAAAAAAAAAAAGCTTTGTTAAAAGAGAATGCAATTTGATCCCATGACTCTAACTCCAAACCACTTGGAGTTTACATGATTCATTTGTGGCTGTGTATGTTCCTTTTTCTTTTTTCCTTTTACTTGCATGATTAGCATTTGGTTTGGGTGGCTTTTTTGATGCTATAAACTACTGTTTTCTCAAGATAGTTTGTTCTCATTTCTTCTTATTATTACAAATGAAACATTCCCAAGAGATCCATTGACGCCAGATTTGTTTCCAGAAATTGAGCAGATCGAACCTCACCCGAAGCATGAATTAACCCATTGAAACAAGTGCTGGAAAGACATTTTGTAGTAATTCTTGTTCATTGGACCAAATCGTGTAGGATGTAGATGATAAAAATAATAGTGTACCTCACAAGAATGCAGAAGATATACGAGACAAACAATTAAAAAAATAAAATGACAGGAAGCACAAATTCTGAGAGTTTCCACCACTTGCGACATGGAATAGAAGCTTCCATCCTTAATTATAAATAGAATAGCTGGGAATCCTAGACATAAACATTCATCTTATAGTTCTCTACCATACTCTCCAAATTCAAAAGCATGTTCAACTTCAACGTAATCATCTTCCTCTTCCTTATAACTACCTCAAACCTCATCTCCACCACTCCAACCCCAACACCACCGTCCATCCTACCTCCCCACCTCACCACCTCGACTCCAACCGCATCACCACCGCTCATACTGTCTCATCCTTCCATCTTAAGACTTTGGTCCAAGCATGTCATGAGTGACATGCCTGAGACCATCATTTCCCTGCTATCCCCCTTGCATGGTCATGATACTGATCACCTTAACCTTGCATCTATACCCAACAATGCCACATTTTGCGAACAAGCAAATTTGGCTTGTAAAGCAGATGTCGATGGCATTACACCCCTATCCATGGCTTACGGTTATAGCACTCACCCGTCACTTGATCCGGTTGATCCGTTATCGTATTTTAAGAAATCTTTGTTGTTTACCCAATCAATCATGGTGAACCTCCCCAATTTGGAATCTCAATTCCCCAAAAGAGCCTTCCTCCCACTAAAACTCTCCGCTAAAATTCCGATGAATGCGAAGGACCTGGAAACCCACTTTCCACAATCATTTCAAAAGGCGATGTTGAGAAAAAATATGGAGATCAGTTTGATGCATTGTTCGGCTCCCAATTTGCAAGGTGAGGAGAAGGGGTGTTTTAATTCACTAGAAGGAGTTATCACATTTGCCCAAGCTGCCTTGCGTGCAAACAACCACCACATCGTCGCACTTGCATCTTCATGCCAGGGAACTCACCAGGGAAGTCAAGTTGTTATCCGCAGCGTCCATCAAGTTGGGGCTAACACAAGCGTTAGTTGTCATGAAATTTTCTTCCCCTTCATGGCATATTATTGCCATGTCCTACCCTCCACCCAAGTGTTTAGTGTGGGTGTAGTGAGCAGCAAAGGCTTGGGTGCTCCGGACAGGGGGAATGGGACAATACTCTATGCCATTTGTCATTTGGACACATCTTCTTGGCCTAAAGGTCATCCAGCCTTCAAGAGTCTGAAAACGTCTCCTGGGGAAGCTGAAGTTTGCCATTGGTCGACCAAGTCTAATATTATCTGGATTCTCGGTGCCGACTACAGTCAGCATTAAAAGTGTTATCCTCCGTATACTCCTTATCATTGGAGTTCTGTCATGCTTACTGGAGTTCTGTTATGCTCCTGTCTTTTATGTATGATTCCTGCTACCATATGAGAACTGCTGTTTTATGTGTTATAAAAGAATAAAAAAGTACTAAATATTGATTAGTACTTATATGTGTTATTGACGTGTGATAGTATTCTGGCCTTATGATGACAGTGCTTATATGTTTTGATAGTGCTTATCTAAACAGAGTATATTGTTTATCCTTTTCAATCTTTTTGTTTTAACAATTTATTACTGTTTTCAAGTCACCAAAAGTTTTGTTTTAACAATTTATTACTGTTGTCAAGTCACCAAAAGTTTGGCCAAAGGAAACACCCCCAGTAGTGATTTGTCATAAAAACTGATTAGTCATAAAAGAGGGGGGGGGGGGCGGAATTGTTTTTGTTGCAATTCGTTAGTGATTTGCAGCGAAAGCACACATTACCACCAAAACCTGTGCTATCGTCCGGACTCAACCCTTCCAATCATAGCAATACAACAACATATGTGCGTCTGTCAAGCATTAGCTTCAACTTTTACACTACGATTACCTACATAAGCTAATTAGTACAAGTTTCGAGCATCCAATTAATCAGGCTGACTGTTGGGAATTTGATTTGGTTGAAGATGGTTTCCGCATGAGATATATAAGACATGCAGGTGGTGCAGATGGATGGATGGATGGATGGGGAGACGCATGATGCACCTTAAATGGGAAGGCGGGGACGATGAGTTTGTGACAATTTATGCATGAATTTGTCTGATCGAATCTAAGGTTTTGCATTCTCGTAAGAGTTGAAGAATTGGTTTGACATTTTAAAGAGGTATTCATTCGTGTAAGGTTAGTTAATGATTAAATATCACAGTTTTTGTCTTTCCAGCATTCTTTTTCTTTTTTAATTATTATTTGATTGTAGAAGAAATTTTCTTCAATCGTACTCTTTGGCATACTAACAGTGGTTGCAAAATTTCAATGACTGAACTTTATATAATGTATCATACTCGTAGAACCAATATGGAAATCACTAGTGCTCAGCTATAGTGTGTTTCATACAATCACACTGTCTTTCTCATAACATCCTTGTGAAGATCACTACAAGCCTTTAGACCTCAAAGCGATAAAAACTAGCAATATGAAGAACTTGTGACATTTTTTTTTAAAGTATGCTATTTTTACAAATTTGTGCATGAAGTTAAAAGATAATAATAAAAAAAAGATTGAAGATATCAAAAAGTATGCTATTGAATAAAGATATCAAAAAAAAAAAGAACCATGCACTCACTCTCCCACAATTTAAAGATTCTATCACTTTATTTTCCTGATATGTATTATATCAAATTGAACTTTTGTTAGTCATCTTATCTTTGGTGGAATCTCATTAGTCTCTTTATACATAGTTTTTTTTGTCTGGTTATCTACCTTTTTCTTTCTCCTGGTGTTGGGTTATGAAATGATAAGCATGATGATGATGATGATGATGGATCCTGTGAAGCTTAATTAATGGGTACCTTTGCTTTATATAAAAATTTACTTAATTGTAGATTCTCATGGAAATGTGTGGTTAGATGGATGTTGCTTTTTCTTTTTTTCTTTTTTTTTGGGTGGAAAATTATCTTTTGCATTTTCTTTATTTGGGTTCATTGTTTTTCGCCGTAGGGTGGTTCATGGTTCTAGTTTCAGTTAAATGTCTTTCCCATCAGAAATCAAAAGGATGATGTTTGGGATTTATGTTACCTTGTAAATCTACAAATCCCTTTCTTTCGAGAGCCAAAAATTAAAAATCGGCTTTGGTTTTCACGCTTTTCAATAGATTTTTTTCATTGTGAACATATTTTATTAGTTGAAGTCCTAGCTAGTGCACCATTACTTTTTATTTCTAAATCATGATTTTTGAACTAGAACCACATAACAAGATATTTGAACTATTTCAAACATAATCATTGCCACGTAGCAGTTATGCAAGGTCTATTTTTCTTATTCCAGTTTCATATTTGGGGCCAATTTTTTTTCTTTTTTGTGATAGACAGGCAATTCCTTTTCCTACACTATCAATGTGTGAGATTCTGTCGTAGTGGAAATGGAACAGGGGACAATGTTGGGATTAGGGCTGCAAATGAACCGAGCAGCTCGCGAGCGGGTAGAGCTGTTAAACGAGCCGAGTCGAGCTCGAGCATAGGATAATCGAGCTCGACTCGAACCCCTAATCGAGCTAGCTCGAGCTCGCTCGATTAGTCATTCGAGCTCTACAAGGCGCTCGAACTCGACTCGATGTGTTGATAGAAAACTCGAGCTCGGGCTCGAGCTCGATTTTTGAAATCGAGCCGCCGAGCTCGAAGCTCGAACTCGAGCTCGCGAAAAACTCGAGTCGAGCTTTTCGAGCTCGAGCTCGCGAAAAACTCGAGCTCGAGTTCGAGCTCGTTTACGGGAGAGCCCATATCACAAGAAGATACACTTTCTCTTATTTATTATTTGAAGCCAAAATGACAATACAAGCCATGCCAAATGACAATACTCGTATTTCCCTGATTCAATTCAACAAGCCATGCCTCAATCACAATACAAGGCAGAGTCTAAAGTTAAAACTACAGCAAAAACCATCAAATGGAGAAACAAAATGTCCACAGGGGGATTACAATGTCCAAACCACATCAAATTACAAGAAGTTTAAACTGCAGCAAGAAGTTAAAACTACACCAAATGACAATACAAGAAGTTAAAACTTCAGCAAACCATGTCAGATTACCACGTCCACACCAAAATGTCCACATTACAACATGAAAAATTATATAAACTGCCACATTACGATATCAACAGCCTCCAGTAATCCAAACCAGATCAGATTACCACATGTCCACACCTCTAGCACTACTTCAGTCATATCATCCCATATGCTGGATTTCTTCTTCCTTTGCTTTTTCTCAAAAGGACCAGCTCCTCCATCTCCATCTACTTGCTGTCCTCCTTCATTGTCATCATCTTCTATTATTTCTATTTCTTCTTCACTCATCTCATCAGCTCTTTCTTCGTTGTAATTCAATTGTTCCACGTCTTCATTATTTTGCTCCATCGTAGGACTTGATGATGAACCTTGAAATGAGTTGAATGGAGAGCTGTACATTCCTTAATCAAAAACATTTAATAACCAATACAGAATCTGATTAGTTAAAACAGAAATTTAGAATAACATTTCTAAGAAATAAGGTACAAAAGTAATAAAACAGATTTCAAAAAATAATGCCCACTTCAAGCTAAAAAAAATAATGCTAAGAAAGTCTGCACTTCAAGCTAATTTTATCACAACTGCAGACTTAACCATTAAATCAACTAAATCATCACCATTAGTTACGAACTTGCAAATTAGGGGAATCAACCACTGAAACAAATATGATGCAACAGTTAATTTTCTATAGCATTGTACCAAAAAGAATTCGAAAAGGTTTAAGGAAAGCTCCAGTGAAGAGAATGGGATATAAAACAGATTTACATACAAAAAATAAAATAAAATAAAAAACTTCAAAAATTGTGAAAAAAATCATAATGCTAGAGACTAATAAAGATCAAATATTATATATTGCAACCATCCAACAAATAGACCCTACTTATGGGACAGTCATACAATCACAGGAGCTTAAGCTGCACAGGCAAACCATATAGAACTAATGATAAGTTGACCAGGAAAACAGGAACTCTCATGAAAAATCCAACGAAATCAACCTCAAAGTTGTGTACGCACTTCAACCAAATTAATGATTTTCAATACTCGTAAACAAGGCATTTGGATTCCTCTCAATTTGTCAATCATTTACAAATGGTTCTATGAACATAAAAACCTGTGCCAGGGCCTGCCAACATGGAACCATCTCCCAAAACAGCAACGCATACTATTGCTGATCTTAGATTGGACCTCTTGATGCCACACCATATCTGTTAGGACCATAAGCAAAGATTGTCCAACAGCTTCTTCCCAAGGATGACAGAATTCAGTTACATGCACTTTAAAGTTGCATACTAAACCTACGTACCAGAGGATCACAAAATTCAAGTATAAAATGAAATTCACACAAAATACCAGTACCAGTGGTATGTAAGTTGATGACTACAAAAACAGATTGCATGCATCCGTTTTTACATGACTGAACAATAACAGTACCTGTTCTTACATGACTACATCTGTTATTACATGACTGAACAATAACAGTACCTGTTTTACATGACTTCAAAATTATCCTACTCATGTTAGGGGTTAGCATTTTTGTATTTTCAGAGATCCTATCCAAAGTTACTCCCCCAATTCAAAGAATTTCAGACTCTCTTGCAATTACTCATGCACTATTAAGCTGCATCTGTATATTAGCATAACACCAGAGAAGCCTAAGCAGTATGTCTCTCATAATATAACATAAAAAGGTTTGCTGATACACAACAAAGTCACTTAGTACCTGCAATTCACTAAAACTTTTGCACGAAGAGTACTTTAAAGTATCAAGATGTCACTAATTTCAACCACAGCAAATAATTATCAAAACATCAAGGCTACGATAAAAAACCATCAAGGCTACTTACCAGAATGCAGTGAATCGGGGTATGGTAGAGGGCCCTGGTGGCTGGCTCTACCGAAATGGCTCCGTATGGCGTTGCTCCGTATGGTGGCTGCGGCTGTGGAACGGGAAAGAGATGACAGAAATGGAGGCTACGGGGTGCGGCGGCGTGAGACTGGAGGCTACGGGGTGCGGCGTGCGAATGGAGGCTACGGGGTGCGGCGGCGTGAGAATGGCGGCTGCGGCTGTGGAATGGGAAAATAGATGACAGAAAGGGGAAATCAAAAAATTAGGGATGGCTGGTGGTGAGAATGGAGGCTGAGGGATGCGGCGTCACCGGCGTGAGAATGGAGGTTGAGGGATGCGGCGTGCGGTGGTGTGAGAATGGAGGCTGCGGGGTAAGTCGGGTGACGGCTATAGGAGGAGAA